TCGTTTTTGGCGTTAATATACCTTGTGCATCCTCGGTGGTTGTTTCGACGTGAACGCTAGCTTGGGAGGCTCAGACCGAGGGAAATACCGTTACTACACTCATCAAGACAGAACAACAAAAATTTGCGAACACACAAGAGAGGGGGGAACGGCAGAGCCGACCCCTGGTCACCTGGTCGCAACACTTACTAACCAACACTGATTCAACTTGTTTGTCAAAAAACGACCGCGCTGATTTGTTACACTGGTTTTAAAACTCGCCATCGGTCGTTTTCCACTAAAACTTTCTACGTTCATTTAATAGTGACTGTCTAAATTGTATAAGCTGCATGGCGGTCAAAAAATCAATTTGGTCACCTCGGTGAGAAAGCACAAAACGTGAGAATGCATCTAAAGTGCACGCGACCTGTATTTGAAACGCGACTACCCGACTTTGGTACATGGAAGGCGGGAACTGTGAAACGGCATATGAAAACATTCCACGCACAGAAAACGACAGCCAGGAAACGAGACATTGGGGTCAGTTTCGACCCCGAAGACACGACGCAATAAGACAAGCAAAATAAAGATGAGATGAAATTGAGAAAACGATGGTAACTCACCTTGTGCGAAACCGGCCGAGGGCGAACTACGTCAGGGGAGGTCTTGTGTGTCAACGGCACACAGGAGTCCGTTTTAGGATCCAAGAAGTCAGAAGAAAATGGGTTTGAAGGGACACCTGAGTGAGGGAAAGCACAACAAAGAAAGGACCACCAGTTTACGTAACTAACTGCCAAAAACGTGAGAATTTCCCGATAGGTAAGAATTTAGGTATCTTGAACCAAACAGGATAATATCACATGATTCGGGCACACCAATCACATCGCTCAAGGTGAACACGTTCGCCTGTTCAGATGTGAAAATTCAGATGCGTCCAACGTGCGTTGGTGTAGTAGTGGTTACACGCTTGCCTCGCATGTCACATGTCCGGGGTTCGAATCACGGCACAGCCATTGGATATGCACTGCTGATGAGCTCTAATAAGAGCGAAACTCGAGTCCAGCGCTTCTCTTCAGTGTGAACTCATCGGAATAATTACGTCAGAACAGGAACACGGCCGTTCAGACGAGAGTGGTGTGACTATGAACAAGATATCACATGAGCCCACATCTTGAGACGATTAGCCATCGAAGTTGCACCCTTCTCGTCGGACTATATTCTCTCAAGTGTGATTTATACCACAGAACAGAAGGTAATTGCTGGGCAAGATGGCTCAGTGGTTAGAGCCCCAATTTACTGACCGAAAGGTCTGCGGGTCGAACGCGACCTCCGAATCTCGACTACCCCTGCCTAGGTGTGGGAAACCAGGCAGTATCCCAGCCCTCGTGCTTCCTTCTGCTGGCATGACAGCTGTGCATCGAAAAGGGTGTTGCAGCTGAATGATTACCTCATTTTTTTTAATTTAGAAAACACGTGTTCGTTTGACGTTACTCCAATAGAATGTGAATACAAAAGGAATAAAAACCTAACACCTCATCGATCGACTCGGTGAACGGCACTGTGAACTGGTTAGAGAATGGCCAAGACCACAAAGCCATCTTAAAAGCCGTGCGAGAGTCTTCAAGGTTGGGTAAGAGGCGTGAAAACAATATTGTCGTCGTTCCTCGTTCGCCACCCAGTCGCTCGATGGACATTTCGGCACGCCTGAGGATACGGTATCATAAGTAGAGACGTACATATTGTATGGTAATTGATCAGGTGGCTGTTGATCTGTTCGCCGAGCTTGGCAATTGATTTGCAAACGTTTCGTCACCATTCGAGGAGACATCTTCAGTGCGCTGTTGGTTGGGTAGTTCCTCTCTTCGTGCCTGCGTTTATATAGTCTACAAAGAGCAGCCTTTGCGCTGTAACCTGGATTCTTGATCTGTACAGCGTCGTGGTCGCCTTCTCCGTTGGTTTGTGGCGTGCACACAGCGCACTGAAGATGTCTTCCCGAATGGTGACGAAACGCTTGCAAATCAATTGCCAAACTCGGCGAACAGATCAACAGCCACCTGATCAATTACCAACCCACAGACCGACTGACGCGCTGCGAAGAGTACTATCAAAACCAAAGGGGACACTCAATGCGATGGAAAAAACAAATGTAATCTACAAAATTCAATGAAAAACACTACGTGGGACAAACAGGGAAGAAACTGTCAACCAGAATCACCGAACACAAACTCGCCACCAGGAGACATGACCAACTCTCCCTCATCTCTGCACACGAAGATGGGGAAGGACACCATTTCGATTGGAATAACGTCAGAATACTGGGCCAGGCAAGAACAAAGAAAGAATGCGAGTTCACGGAGGCGTGGTACTCCACTGGTGGAGCAATAAACAGGCACATTGAGATTGATCCTGCCTACCAGCCTCTGAGGACAAAGGAAATCCAGAACTAGTCTCACATTTTGGAGCGAAATCTGAGCGATCAACAACGACGTTGGGGATTCGCTTAAACTTTGATCCACGCGCGCAAGAAACAACAAGTATTCGACTAAATGACCCACGAATCTCCGCTATCCGGATAGCTCACCATCAACAGACCTGACATTTGACAGTAAAATGAACGTGTGAATTCTGATGTCAGCTTCCAGAAGCCCTGTTATTCAAATACCAAGATTATGGTGTGCCGGTCTACACTGTTGTTGAGTAGCGACCCCTGGAGGCGACATGTCCGGGTTCTTGACCGACTTCACTTGCATGGTCGGCGGCGCAGTTTTAGCGATGTGCTCGAGTGCGGAAAACTGAATGAGCGATCGATCAGAGCCAGAAGCAGACAATATGTGTGCAGTTCTAAGGGTGAGAGGAACAACACTACTTTAACAGAGATATTTTCACGGGTTAATAACCGTTGTAGGACGATGATTACATCGCAGTCCAAACTCAGATCGCTGGTGCTGCTCGTTGGCTTACCGACCCAGATGTAAGTGGTCATCTTAGCCTGTGCAAGCCAGAGTGTAACAAAAGTGCAACAAAAAAGCTGAACGACGGATGGTGGGCGTAACAAGGAAACCACGGACAAGTGCACGGACTAGACTGCAAACTCACCTGACCCAACGAGTAACTGGCGCTCCAAAACGACATGTCTAGATCGACCAACATCCGGCGTGGATTGGGTCATCGCAACCGGGGTACTGGATCGACTACCGAGTTCATTTACATTGGTGTGGTTGGATGGCACGGATCTTTTCAACGCATCCCAATCGAATGGGTCTGCAGGTGGATCGGGAAGCGTTTCAACACTCTGATGATGGATAAACGGATTGGGACTAGGCTTTGGGGAACAGGGTTGGAATAAGTCGAACGGATCGTCCTCGGGTCCGGAATGCGGAATCACGGAAGGTGGTCGGAATATTTGTGGTGAGGTAGGTGCTCCGAACCAGCTGGATCGATGCATTGGGAAGATGTGGGAATACCGGGGATCATACACGGGGGCTGAAGGAATCTGTCAACAAAAGGATGCAGATTTGATGGAAGGTTGAGTAACAATGTGGTAAAAAGGAACGATCGGAACGCGACAGATATGGAAGAAAACCGGACGCCATTGCATTGAACAGACGCCATAAAAATTTAATCCACAAGTCAGACTGCACTCAAATACTCACAGGAAATCTCACAGTTGACTGTGGGCGTGGGAGGATAGTTTGGCTGTACAAGTCGATCAGCGGAGGTGCTGATGCCAGCTTGGATCTTGACGTAGTGTCAGTACCAGGCATTTGCGTGTCCTCCTGTTTCTCGGAAGAAGACTCGGGCTGCTCGGGAGACTTGATCGGGGAAAAAAGGGAGGAGAGAGAGGAAGAATGCTTGCGACGTACATCGGCAGACTCCTCGTCATCTTCTTCAGGGCCAGGAGGCGGAGGAAGGATTGTTGAACACAGGTATTCAGGAGCTGTGGTAAGGAGAAAGATGTGTGTGGGTTTTTTGCCAGTGAGTGAACCAGACATTTTCCGGAAGTAACAGAACACCGAGGATGTGCAACGGCCGAGTTGGAAACTCCCTGGAGTTCCGTGAGATACGCACTGCTGATGATTCCCATACTGAGGATAAAACTGCTCCTCGGTTTTTCAGCATAGATTAACCAACGTGGGAAATGACAAAATCTCAAACTACGATTAGCTAATTATCGTCAGGCAACCTGTTTACTCATAAAACACCGGAAAGTTGTTGAGGTATTAGGTTAGAAAACACGGAGATGAAACTATGTCCAGACAAGTCGCCATATGCCGAACAAACTCCTGCACAGCTGGCGAAATCGTTCACAAGGCCGTAACCATCACAGTTGAGAGAAGTTGAATGAACCCCCAATGTATGCGAAAACAGACACCGTGATGCAGACAACACGAATATATGGACCGTGATTATAACTGGTCGAGTAGTTCGCAAACGACATGAACATATGGGCCATGATTATAACTGGTCGAGTAGTTCGCAAACACAGCAGTTGCAAGTGGGAGCTGACGAAAATCGAAAAAGGCACCAAGGCTATGAAAGCTGTGAGGTTTATTGCGGTAGAAGCTATCGAAGAACAAATATCCTGCAATGAGTCCAGGCAAGCCAAAATATGGGTTGTACCTGCTGTCACGTGCATGCTGTTTAGATGGCGCAGCCGGTTAGGGTGATTTAGAGCCATCAAAGGACATTTCACTCTGAGGAAGTGAGCGGATTGGGTTCAGATTGGGTCTGTGGTATTGTGAATAATATTCACCCTAATTTGTTCGTATCCTGAGGAATTGAAGCAAATGGCAACTTAATCTGCCTTGACATACCGATTATTGGTTGTTGATCAGGTGGCTGATGATCTGTTGGTCGAGCTTGGCTTGTAAACGTTTCATCACCATACGAGGAGACATCATTAGTGCGCAGAGAAGCCATCAACAAACATAGTGAAATTGATCCTATTTACCAGCTACTAAGAGCGAGAGAAAGCCAGAACCAGAGCTTAGAGCTGCAAAAGCAACCAGACGAGGAACTCATAAGAGAAGCAGTAAAGCATCATTCAAACGGACACATCAATTGGATTGGAGGAGGTGCCCAACCAAAGCACCAAATCAACTGACGGACGCAGGGACACTAACCGCCAGGATAGAGGAAATAGGGCGGTGGAAGCAACCAGTCAAACCCGAGAACATCAGACCACAAACAATGTGGGTCAAGGCCAGGGAGAACAAGCTACTGAAAGTAGAAGGCTTTGGGATAACCAATCAATACAAAGGAACGCAGACCACAACGCAACAAAGATCACAAACGGACCAATAGATTCACTAAATTCGTGGACACTAACCGCCAGGATAGAGGAAATAGGGCGGTAGAAGCAACCAATCAAACCCGAGAACATCAGACCACAACGCAATGCGGGTCAAGGCCAGAGAGAACAAGCTACTAAAAGTAGAAGGCTTTGGGATAACCAGTCAATACAAAGGAACACCGACCACAACGCAACAAAGACCACAAACAGACCAATAGATCCACTAAATTCGTTTCACTCCAAGTAGCCAATCACGTCAGAAGATAACAGATGGCCTTCGAATGCCACATAAACGTACGCAGGCAAGGAACGAGTACCCACCCAACTGCGCGCTGATGATGTCTCCTCGTATGGTGACGAAACGTTTGCAAGCCAATTGCCAAGCTCGGCGAACAGATCAACAGCCACCGAAAAAAACAACCACGAAGGGTGCACAAGGTATATTGACGCCCAAAAACGAAGTCAGCAATAGTTGTACGGCGCTTCGTGTATATAGCGTAGGCGGTTACAACTTTCTGGAAATTCTGACGCGTTCTGGATGCGCCATTGGCAACCGGTATTCGGCCAATACTGGGTCATGATTGGTTGTTGGGCCCAGACTTTTGACTAATTAGAGCTCGGCTTGATGCCGGACTGGCAGGCGTATTGAATTTTGGCCAATCTTGCGTGGGATGGGCTCGTCGGCCATAGCAGCGCCCAACTGCGAGCGAGATCTGTGTGAAATTCTACCTAACTGTGTGTTACTGTTGTGGTAATTTCCTGAACGGGGTACATGTATTTTGGTCAGATTTATATCTGAATCGCGTCTACGGACAATTGCTCTTGAACGACATGTCTCGTGCATGTTCCACCGTCGGCGAATGTTTGATCAGACCTAGTATATATAGTATGGTATCTCGTCTTTTTAACTAGCATTTGATCCTCTAGTCATGCTATCACTTGACGCAGGTCTCTTTTCGGGATGCTATTCAATTGGAATAATAATAGTAATAAGAATCGTTCAGCCGTACTATCCTTTAGGGGCCTAGCTGCCGTGCCACCCGAAAAAAGCATAAGGGTTGATGTACTGCCAGGCTGACCAAGTGTAGACAGGCGCAGTCGAGATATGGGTACTGGGGTCGAACCAGGGACCTTCCGGTCAGTAAGTAATCATGCACGTTTGATGTTCCTGTTTCGTGTAGGATGGTCGCTGTTATGGTCCGCCCTGGGTCGACCCCTCCTTGCTCGCCACCAAGTCAGGATCAAGTTATCCGGTTTCGGTGAATTATATCCATCCACGAGAACCGCATCATCGGGGTAATAGCAGTTGCACGCTAGTCAGCAAAGTTGACTGCCAATTGAGACGGTAATTTTTCAACGCCATATGTGTTTTCGCCAACTGTTTATGGATGTAACTGAGCTAAGCAGGACTAATCGGAAGTTTACCTCTGTACCTCTGTACAATTAATCGTATTGTTTGATACACTGCCAGCCACCGCAACCTCTTCGTTTTGGTGAAGAAAATAAAGCGAATTCGATGATGTTCAAACATTACTGAATAGTAATTTGAGCAACCCTAGGTAGAAGTCGGAATGGCTCAGCAGTTAGAACGTGAATTTACTGA